TCGCCATGTGACCGTGCTGCTGCTGTTCCTCGAACGGCTGCTGCTGCTGCTCTTGCGGGGCCGTCTGTGTCTGCGTTTTGTTCGCTGGGACGAATGGCTTGGGAATCGTGTTGAACTTGGCGGGGAGCGGCGACGCGGGCTTCGCCGGCGGGGTGCCGGGGCCCTGGGGAGCCTGGGGCGTGATGCTGATCTTTGACACGAACCGCTGCTGCTGCGGCGACGCCTGGCTTGCCTGCGGCTGCAGGGGCTGTTCAGCCATCTCGGGGGGCGCGGACGCACACCGCGTGCTCCGCGGGACATCCCTCGAATGGTCGGAGGCGTCGACGGCGGACGTGGTTCTGACTGGGTACTGAGGGGCGTTTCTGGCGTGGCTCGTTCGCAGCGGCGCCACCGGCTCGTTCTCTACCTGCTGCTGCTGCTGTCGAGACGCAGAGGGCGGGGCCGGAGCCTCCAGACGAATGGGGATTTCGTGTGAGGTCGCAGGGCCTTCTGTGGAGCCGCCGGAGCACTGCGAGGACTTGTCTGTGGCCGCGGCGTCGCAGGAGTCGTCCTCGGAGGTGGCGCTCATGGCCGAGCCCCCCGAGCTTCGGCGCTCCCGCCAGGGGCCACCTCGACGGCCCATGGTGGCGAAGTGTGGCGCGTGCGACATGCGGTGTGCTAGGTCGCTCATGTCGTCGTCCTCCGACATCCAGTCGGGCATGCGGAACATGCCGTGGCGTCCGCGCAGGTCGCCCATGCAGCGGCGGGCCAGGTCCTCGCCGTCCTCCGCCTGCGGGAGAGAATAGTATCATAATAGTAATTACAATAATAATAATGATTAAAATGGCAATACTAATGACAATATTAATAAAAACAATAATAATATGAATAAATACACCAACAACAATAATACTAACAAAAAATAATAATAACAGCAACAACAAAAAATAATGATAATAATGACAATAACACAAACAACAGCAACAGTATTAAGTTAGTAATAATGTCAATAACAGTAATAACAGTTATCATTATTATCATCGTTATAATCATAGTAATTAGAAGTACCAAGCGATCGCATACCCACGCCAAGGCAATAGGGTCACTGATGCATTAAATTATTCACATTTGAAGATTTACACCAAAATTTATTGGTATTTAAGCTGACACATATGATTTAAAAAACAAATCTGTTCTGTAAATCTGTTCATAACTTTTTGTCATCCTAAAAAAACTAACCAACGTTACCAAGAACATAATCTCCTGGAGGATGTAATAATAATGGCAATAATAATAATGATAATAAAAATAGTAATAATAATATTAATAATAATAATAATAATAATAATAATAATAATAATAATAATAATAATAATAATAACAATAATAATGATGACAATGATAAATGCAATCATAATGACTATAGTGATAATATGGATGGTAATCATGATCATAGCAATAATGATGATAATAATAATGACAATGACACTGTTGACGACAATAATAATAAAAACAATAATAATCAAAAGATGCCAATAAAAACAATATATATAATAGCAAGAAAAACCATAACAATAATAGTAACAATATTAGTAATAACAAAATAATAACAACAATAATATTAATAATAACAAAATTAACAACATAAAAACGACGATAGTAATAATACTAATAATGATGATAATGATAATAATAATGATAATAATAATAATAATAATAATAATAATAATAATGATAATAATAATAATAATAATAACAACAACAATTCTACTGATACCAACAAGAATAATAACACTATTAACAATAACAGTAATAATAATAATAATGATAATAATAACAAAATAAAAATTATGATGATTAGTAATACAACTAACAATAATAATAAATAAAACAATAATGGAAATAATAAAAATGATTATAATAATAATTATAAATATCATTATTCCTGTAATCATAATATTTATAGTAACAACACTAGTATGGGCAATAATGATAATAATAATAATAATAACAACAATAATAATTATTATCATTAATATCATTACAATAAAAATAAAACAACAACAATAATAATTATATGATAATAATGATAGTAATAAAAACTATGATAACAATACTGACCATAATAATCAGTGTCACTAGATATTAAATAAATAACAGGAAAATCAATACTGGCAATAATAATAGTAGTAGTAATAGTAGTAATAATGACAATAATAATAATAATAATAATAATAATAATGATAATAACAACAATAAAATAAAAATAATGATAACAGTGATAATAACAATAATAATAATAATAATAATAATAATAATAATAATAATAATAATAATAATAATAACAATAATAATAAAAAATCGTAGCAACAAAAAATATTAACATAATAATTATAACAATGACTATAACAATAATGATTATAATAATAATGATAGCAATAACGATAGTAATGCTAATAAACATTATCACAATTATCACTACAATATGATTATATCTATAATTATAATAGTAACAGCGACAATAATAGTAGTGGTAATAACAAACACAGCAATAATAATAATGACAAGAACAAAAGAGCCACTGTTGGCGGGGCACCAATTGTGGCTCCTTCGCCCGTGGGATCCTGCCACCTTCAGACTTCCCTTGCGCCTTCCCCCTTCCTTCTCAGTGGCACCATAGTTGCGGCATAAAAATGGATTAATGCTTTTGATATCCCGATCAATGACATCCTTCTCCTCTTCGCTCCAGTCCACATGGGTGCACTGCACGCGGCTACAGGGTCGCCGAGGAAAATCGCTGTCTTACCCAAAGATCAATATTTCTTTATCCTTATAAAATGTTCTATTCGGAACAGGTGTTGCCTTTTAATCAATACCAGGAAACAGGCACCGAGAATTTCCTTACAACATATTTTCCAGAGCTATACACATGCAGTTCCACACTGAAAGCGCAGAAGAAAGGCTACTAGAAAAGAGGGGAGGAGAGCGACCCAGGTCTCTCTCTCCTGTGGCGGCAGAGGTCATGGAGAAGAGACGTTCACGGCGCAGGGAACATATCGCACTGGATACGCAGCGAGGAGCAGGGCACTGCTTGCAGGACACATATAAGCGTAATGGTTATGAGTTGTGCTTCAGCAAAATTGGAGTACATGCAAATTTGTTTGAAAAAGGCGAAGTCTGGCGCTTTTGACCTAAGCATGAGACAACTGCTCCTACCAGAACGACAAAACACTCAACGAGTGTTCACAGAAACAAAACAATACACCACACACAGAGAACGTTCATTGAGATACGAAGCAAGTTTCGAAATCCTCCCGAATTTAGGATTTCGAAATTGTTGTCTGACACACTGCCGCTCTTGTAACTGAGGTTTACATACCAACCACGTAACTCGAAGAGCTACATATCTATGATGAAATTATGCCTATTGCAACCACGGCAGCCAACCTACCGATCTCTTGACGGGGGCTCGCTGGAGCGGCTTGGCGATGTGCGACGGCCACATGGCGCGGACTCCGAAACCGACGCGCTGACTCAGGGACTCTTTCCCTAATAAGGCCCCGGACTGACGTCCAGTAGGGTGTTGTCCCTCACGAGAAACGGACCACTTTCGCACTTGATTCTCAATAGCAACTCCTGCTTCGTCAAGTCAATATTGCGGTTGTTTTTTACACCTTGAGGTCAATTACACCTGTGTAAATATTTAAACGTTAATTTGTGAAAGGATATGAACTACACAGTGCACTTTGGTATTCACAATGGTCGAGCGTGAGCGAGGGGGGAGAGGGGGGAGGAGGGAGAGAAAGGGAAAGGGAGAGTGGGAGAGAGAGAGGGATAAAGGGAAAGCGAGGAAAGGAGGGGGGAGGGAGAGAGGGAGAGGTTGAGAAATTCGCGGCAGCGTTGTCTGACTGTGCGCGCGCGCGTTAGTGATTGAGTAATTGAATGCTTAGCTGAAATACGTTGACACATGCATTCCCGGAACAGCGTTTGCCATCAGGCCTTATCGCCAGCGGTCAACCGCTGCTCAGGGCCAGGGCCTGCCATGCTTGCAGTCCCAGCTAGCTCCAATCTGCCGTCAAGCTATGCACTGGATTCAGTCGGCGTTTGGCAGGGGCCTCGCGCAGCTTCAGCGCCGCCCACGCGCGCCATAACGGTGAGGAAGTAAACAGGTTATCGAAAGCCCTCGGAGGGTCTGCGCATGCGGGCCGGCCGACGTCTGCTAGAGGCCTTCACTGAGTTTTATTTCTTGCTTTAGGTTTACCTTCGGGTTAATTTCTAATGCCGAAAGACGGGTGGAATTGCTACGCATAAAACAACATCAAATATAACAAATTCATTCACCTAAAGAAAAAAGTTCTGCGCGTCCCGTTTTCTTGGCGACTGCCAGAGGTCGCAGCCGCGCTCGCAATGAGAAGCTTCACACGGAAGAAAACAGGAAAATCAGCCGGCCATGGCTAACGCGAGATGAATGGCGACAGCCTGGACAGCCTGACTCATCCCCAAACACGACGTCGCATTTTCCGTCCGCGGGCGGGTCTTTCCGCCGAGGCCTCAGCGCCGCACTCGAAGCGCCACGAACCCGCTTCCTGTCTCCCGCCCGCCCCTTCACAGTCCAATCCCGGCCGCCGACGTCCACTTTCACTTCGCGCTGCCCAGCCTCGGCCTTGGTCCTCCAACTTGTTCTAGAAGCCCGGGCGTGCTGCTGGCAAGGTGTTGGCAGCGCGCCCTCGGCCAGCCCACCGGCCCACCAGAGGCGCCCACCAAGGCTCGGCCGGGCCCGCCGCTCAAACCAACTTTTCTCCCTCCGCCGCTCTAGAACTCTCCAATTCCGAGAACAAGCGCACATTCTGAACTCCGTAGCAAACATCCATGGATATTTTCTAAACAATTCCTTGCGCTTTGCACCTTAGGCAGTCCACACCAAATTCACGAACAGGAAAGGACACTCCTGCCATTAGTCATATATCTATAAATGCCTTTCAAGAAATCGAGAAATATTAGGAGTATAGCCTGTGTTCATA